GTATCGAATTCGGGGCCTCTAGTCTGAAAGTGATCTTCAATAGTGAAAATAGATCATAGAGGTTGTTAAGTTTATTTTCGTTCACTGATGGAAGGGCCCTCCGCAAGGATTTATTCTGTTTTATTCCTAGAATTTATAATGACAAAGTCATCATCATGAGCCTACTCCACTATAATGGAGGGTTCTGCCATAATCCCCACGCTTGGCAGGCGCGGCAGATTGGAGACTGCAGTAAAAAGATTGATATTGTCAGAGAGCGCTGCTTCCCGTTCTCAGTTTGATGTGTCCCTAAGTCGCCTCTTACGACACCCGCGGGAAGAGTAGGTGTGGGTGACAAATGTATTCTACTCTGCCTTCACCGCACGGCTATAATGTCAAACTCAACTAAATGATACTCCTAACTAATTCACGGTCAACAGTACAATAGGGTGTGCGAACGCCGTCGCACAAGTTTTAACAAGCGCAGCGCAAACTGTCTCACATTCACGGTCACCGATCTCGACTCTTGTTAGCAACAGTTTAACTTTAACTTTAACTACTAAGTTTGTCGAATCACTGAGTCTAGAATCTAGATTCTAGCGATATGAGATTATTATTCAAAGTTTGACAAATATAGGCTTAATCGAGCGAAAGTTTGCTGGACTGGAGGGAGGTCTTAGAGAGAGTTTGGAATTTAAATAAAATAAGAAAATATTTTTATTTCAAGTACTCGGGTCTATTAATTAATATTGAAATATTCGTTGCAACTCGAATTTCTTTGGCGGCTAAGATGTAGGCTAAATCTGACAAGTTTTGGTAGTAGGACTTAAAACTAACAATTATGAACTAAAACAATAAGAGGAACATAAAAAGTTGTTATACTTAATGATATAAGATCTATTTAGCCGCTATATGATAGACACGACACAAGAAAACAGACACATTCACGAAATTAGTAAGTAAATATTTTGTTTAAATTCGTAGGTTCAAATTACTGTATAAAGAGCACAAACCTCTCACATGAAACCAATTTTAATCCAAGTGATACTCCTTTAGCGCCAGAAAAGCCAATTATGTCATACGACAGCCTCTTTTGGTTTATTTCACGACTGAAGATTTTCCGTACATGATTTAATTAAACCATTAACGTGTCTGTTGTTACCTATTAATTTCTTGAAGCATTAATTATAGCTCCATAAACAATTTGATATTAAATCTTGCCCAGAATATCTGTTTTATCAACGTCTTCTAAGATAATGTTTAATCTTCAATATTGTGTACGGATATTAAAGTATCATCCTCTTTGTAGCTAGACTTTGTACGAACAATGTTTATTAACTAAACATTGCAAGTTCACTATTTTTGGTGTGGTATTTTTAGGCAGGATAATTGTTATCAGGCACTATAATCACTACAAAGTATCTTTCCGCTGTTTGTCCCTATATGTATAATATGCTTAGCTTTAAAATTACGCAACGGATTTTGATGCGGTTTTTTTAATAGATAGTGATTCAAGAGGAAGGTTTACATGTTAGGGTTATATTACATACTTAGCACCCGTCCAAAGCCGGAGCGGGTCGCTAGTTATAAATATGAAACTTAGTGAGAATAAATAGATAGTTATTTTTACTCTTTCAGACTTAGGGTTCGGCCAAACTAACGCGATCACACGCGATCAACCGGCGTGCAGCGATGGTGATCAATGCATTTAAGTCTGGTCGCCATCGCTGCACGCCGGATGATCGCGTGTGATCGCGTTGGTTTGGCCGAACCTTTACTTTTGTTTTAAAACCACATACGCAAAATATACAGTGTGAGTCACGTTAAAGTGTACATATGAAAATAGATGAAACTAGACCTATTTTTATCGACAAAAAAGAGGTCAAAAAATTTTTGAGATTTTTTTTTAATTTTTTGTAGAATTTTTTTTTCTTCCAATTTCTTATTGTAAAGAAAACGTAATAACTTTTAAACTAAGCGGTATATTATGATAAAATAAAAACAGTAATAATGCTAAATAACAGGCGATACTAAAAAATACATAAAATACATTACACAAAAAATGCCAACAAATAAAAAAATGATACTTTTTGAAAAAAATCTGCTTTTAAATTCGTGTTTTTTTGGTTATTTGATAAATGTATCTAAAAAATGCCCCTATAACAGGTCGTTTTTATTACTTTTTATTATTCTCTATCGTATTATCTTTGTAAAACCAAAAATCGCATGTCTCTATCCCTATCACAACATTTGCTATGATCGTTTGAACAAAGGCCTGCCACAACATTATTCTCCGCTACAGGTAGAGACAATTTTAATTTTAACTAAAATGCTTATTTTACTTCGAAATCTTTTGTTTTTATTTTAATTCTAACTTGTCTTTTCAAAATTACAAATCTAGAGCCATTTTCAGTTTCGTTGTTAACGAAGCTTTGAATGGCGCGCCCGGAGAGGCTTAGTTCAAACGATCATTGCAAACGTTGTGATAGGGATAGAGACATGCGATTTTTGGTTTTACGAAGGTAATTCGATAGAGAATAATACAAAGTAATAAAAACTACCGGTTATAGAGGCATTTTTTGGAAAAATTGATCAAATAACCAAAAAAACGCGAATTTAAAACCAGTTTTTTTTTTTTTTCAAAAAGTATCATTTTTTATTATTTGTTGGCCTTTTTTGTGTATTTTATGTATTTTTTTTGATATTGCCTGTTATTTAGCATTATTACTGATTTTATATTATCATGATATACCGCTTAGTTTAAAAGTTATTACGTTTTCTTTACAATAAGTAATTGGAAGAAAAAAAATTCTATATTTTTTTTTTAAAAAGTCTCAAAAACTTTTTGATCTCTTTTTTGCCGATAAAAATAGGTCTAGTTTCGTCTATTTTCATATGTCCACTTTAACGTGACTCACACTGTATTTACGCTACATGTCAAATCGTCACCCTATGAAGCCCTAACGAGCGAGTGCACTGACGAGTGAAAGTGAAATGTTTGCTTGAGCACGCTTATAACTTCACGCACTGCTTTACCGTAACTGAATATTTGTATTGATGCCGCCTATGATTTAAATGTAATAAATAAAATAAATAACTTTTACATAGCTCCATCTAACCCCAAACTCAGCAGAAGTTGTACTATGGGTGCCGCAGACCAAAAATAAACAAACTCACTTAATATACAGAAAAATATTTATTGTATTGTGCGAAGTTTGAGCCCGTAACCTCTGGCATAGCAGCACGGCGCGTGAACTACTAACCTTTGAATTTTATATTTACTTTAGCTCATAATTATTATGATAAGGCAGTCAAGCATAAATCAGAGCAGGCCCCCACTAGGTGGACCGAGGATCTGGTGAAGGTCGCGGGAGGTTCTTGGATGCGGGCGGCACAGGAACGGTCGTTGGGGAAGTCCTTGGGGGACGTCTTTGTCCAAATCATCATCATCATCTCAGCCATAGGCCTCCCCCAATGCTTTCCATGTTACCCGGTTGGTAGCGGCCTGCGTCCAGCGCTTTCCTGCTACCTTTATGATGTCGTCGGTTCACTTTGTGGGTGGACGTCCCACGCTGCGTTTTCCGGTACGCGTGCCTTTGTCCAAATATACAATACATAAATGAATCCAAAAATAAAAATCGTAATCAAGCAATTGAGTTATAAACCATGAATGCGCAATTTGCATCGCAAAACGCGTCATTGTTTTTCGTCGATATGAACAAAACCTCTTCCGAATGGGGCTAATATTAACGCTGGTAAATAACCGAAGCTGCACAAACTGCACATTGTTCTGCAATATTGAATGACGGGAACAATCGAGCGCCGAGTGCGGACACCAAGCCAAATATTGCTTTTTGAAAACCGCATACATTAACTACGGCATAGAGATGCGTTTCAAAAGCTTCGCAAATGTAGAGACTTTTGAATAAGAATAAGAATAAGAAATTTATTCATAATGTTCATTACATGTCAAATTTTCAATATAAATGTTATATATTTGTAACACAAACCACTAGTGAATATTTTAATTGCATCAATATATGTTTATCAGGCACTCCCTGCGGAGACGTAGATATTTTTGTATCTATTTGCTTTAACTTGACATTCTACAATAATAAGTCATAACCCAGCCTAAGGGCTGGGTTGCACCCACTATCTTACTGTAACTTTGACAAACGTCAAAAATCTGTCAATCTTCATACAGCTCAACCTTAGTTTCCTCTGATGATGATGATTTTCCTTGTCGGTAAAAAGTGTCTACGTTTCCGCAGCGTCTGAAACTACAAAACAAGATCTTAATTGGGTTACATTTCGTTATTTTCACCTCTCCGCTTTGATGGAAAATGGGCACTACACTGGTGATTTTGGAATTATTTTTTCACGTTTTACGAATCATTAACAATAAACATTACTTTTTGAATACCGCAAGGGACGGAGACGGGAGATGACATAGAAATGCGTTTTTAACTAAAAAAACTAGCAAGAATCAGAGAACCAGATGTTTCGATGTGCGATTTTTTAAATTGATGTTTTAAACAAATTGATGTTTCTTCAGTGTATCCAGTTATAATAAATTTCTTAAACTACCTTTACAAATTACCACTACCATTTAGGTAAATCTTAAATTACCATAATCATTATCAGTTTAAAAAAATATCGCTTTAATATAATGGAGTTTGATTATAACCGCAGCGTTCGGAACGTAACTCTATGGCGTGCATGACGTCACACGATAATCAATCATTGTGCGTCAATGCAATGACACAGCCCTTTCAGATTTCTGTTATTCGGATGCCTATGTGTTCCCCGTAGGTCTAAGTTGAGCCTAACTTCGAACCCTACAGGAGATTTATAATGAAAAAACTGTATTTTTGAACTGGTTATATTATTACAGCAAGACTAAGATGCGCGCGCGATGGTCGTACGGAGTGAGTGAGCGGCGGCCGCGGTTGCGGCAGCGTATTTATGTGTAGGCGCGGGGACCCCGCGCTCCCCCGCCGATGCGCCCTCTGTTGTCATCACTATACTGCCCGCCTTGAAGTCTCGTCTTCAATTAATGTTGTTGGCAGCGGACAGATGGTGTTGTAGGCGCGACGAAGAACGCCCTTCTTTGTCTTGATGTCGGCGACCCTGGCTATGCCGTCTCTGCCAGGCAACGTTCGGAGGATGCGGCCAAGCGACCACATCAATGGAGGTGCAGACTTGTCCTTGATAAGGACAAGTGACCCCTCTCGCAGCTTCCCGTGTGACGTGTGCCACCGTGTCTTCCTCTGCAGCCAGAAAACATATTCATTATGGAATCGTGCCCAGAAATGTTGTTTTAGCGCTTCAATGCGTTGGAATCGTTGAAGTGATGTGATGCGCTTTTCAATAAGTTGCGGGCAAGGCAAAGAAACGATTGATCGTCCAATTAGAAAGTGGGCAGGAGTGAGGCAAGTAAGATCTGAGGGATCGTTAGATATAGGAGTGATGGGACGAGAATTTAGAATAGCTTCTACCTGTATCAGCAGAGTCGCCATTTCCTCAAATGTCAGGTGCGTCAGTTCTAGAATGCGACGTAGGTGGTGCTTAATTGATTTGACTGCCGACTCCCACAATCCGCCAAAGTGAGGAGTGTAAGCAGGAATAAAGGAAAAATCGATACCTTTGTCGGTTAGATGTGCTGACAGCGACGGGTCTCTGAGTAGGCTAGATAATTCATTAAAGGTCCCTACAAAGGTGGTTCCGTTGTCCGAAAATATCCTCTGCGGCCTGCCCCGTCGCGCTATAAATCTGTTAAGAGCCGCAATAAAAGCTTCCTTTGTTAGGTCTGAGACAAGCTCCAGATGCAGCGCCTTGGTGGCTAAACAAACAAAGACACAAATGTAGCATTTTACCAATTTACAGCCTCTCCCCTTACGGTCTGCTATCAGCACTGGCCCGGCGTAGTCTACACCTGTTTCTAGAAAAGGATATTCTAAATGTAGTCGGCTGTTAGGTAAGTTGCCCATGATAGGCTGAATGGTTTTTCCTTCAAAACGACAACATTTAACACATGCTCGTACAATGCGCTTTGCGAGCCTGGTGCCTCCTAAGATCCAATAATTATGACGTGCTGTGGCTAATAACAATTGAGGCCCTGAATGTAAATAGGTTTTATGCAATGATTCGAATATAAGTTGGGATAGACGATGTTTACTGCACAAGAGAATGGGGTGCTTAACGTTGTAATCGTAGTGAGAATCACTAAGCCTGCCGCCCACTCTTATGAGATTATTGGGATCCATAAATGGAGTCAATGATAACAATCGGTTTTTGTGTGGTAATTTACCGCTGTTAATGAGTGACTGATATTCATCAGGAAAGGACTCCTGCTGAGAAATGAATAGTAATTTAGTTGTTGCGGCATTGAGTTCCGAGACAGTCAGGTGTCCTGTAAGTTTTGGGTTATTCTTGTGGCAGTTATTAATAAATCTCAATACAAATGCTAATGTGCGTTTCAATTTGGTAAAGCTTGATAGTTTAAGTATTAGTTTAGATATTAAGTTACATTGATTGTCAGAATTGTTGTTTAATTTATTATTATTTTGTGTATGAAAATTTGTTATTATTGTTTCTGGTAGGTTTTTTATATTATTATTATTTTGTACAGGTTTGTCAGGCCACTGTTGAGAATCTAGTTTCAAAAATGAAGGGCCAGACCACCATAGCTGGCAGTGTTTTATTAAGTCTGCTCGCACTCCACGCGAAACCAAATCTGCTGGGTTTTGCTTGGATGGTACATATCGCCAATCAAAAGAACTATCCTGTATCTCAATAACTCTATGCCGGACAAATGATTTCAGTTGATTTGGTTGGGAAGAAAGCCAACCCAATACAATCATGGAGTCGGTCCAACATGTACAGGACACATATTGAAAGGTAATTGACGAAACAACCTTTGCACATAGTCTTGCTCCCATGAGTGCGCCACAAAGTTCCAGGACCACGGACCAGTCTGATCTGACCCGCTTCTGGGAGTTGGATACAATTCCACCCCAATACAAACACACACTAGAAGAGCTTCAGTGTGAAAAACACTTTTTAGAAACCACCATACGAGATAGTAACGGTCGCTTCATAGTTTCAATGCCACTCAATGACTCACCAGACGTACTTGGGGAGTCATTATTTATTGCAAAACGTAGATTCTTATCTCTTGAACTTCGTCTGGAAAGAGATCCTAGTATGAAACACTTATATTTAGTGTAGTAGTAGATCATCTTTTACTACATTTATGTAATTTGAAAAGCTAGTGATTTTACTTTTTATTGTTCCGCGCCTTTTAACTAATTGTGATATTTTTGCTTCAGACATTGTTATGATTGATTGAATAATTATTTACTTTAAGGACTTGAATTAATTATATGTTTAAGATTGTAATTTACTTTTTTTTTGTATTGTCAAATTAGAATATGTAAGTTTAAGGGTTTTGTATAAGTTAAGTAGAATAAGTATGATGTAAATATAAAAAAAATCGTTACGTAGTAAAGTGTTTTGCAAAAAAATGAAAAGAAATTAATAGGAACGGTACAACCGAGGTACGACCGAGATGTTGACTTGTGAAGATAGCACACGACTCCCGAGCCGTGTCGGCGACTCGGTGTCTACCGACCTAGAAATAAAAAATAAAAAAACAAATTAAAACAAGGAAAGACAATTTGTGTAGTATTAGTGGCTATCTACGTAGTGTTAATGCGAAGCAGAATACACAATATTGTTATTATTATGATGAATTGATGTTTGCTGATTTTATGATTTGAAATTATTTATGAATTTAATAAACTATATTTTACCAAATGTTTTATTGTTTGATTTTACTGCAAAGCTTGACAGACACCACAGTTGAGAAAATACGTTACAAGTTATTCAATGTGAAGGTAGACTTAGTACTAAATGAGTTTTGAAAATGAGGATTTTGCTAACTACTGATACGGAAGAGATGAAAAATGGGTGATGATTTTACGAAATGGATTATGAAAGAAGTGATTGCGAAGCTTGGATGTGGGTTCGCAAAGCGGATGATATGTGATGTGATGGGAAAAAAAAGAAAGAAAATGGATCGATCTCACGGTTTCGTGCTATGGCGCAACTTATCCTTTCTTCTTTTCGCTGATGACTCCTCTTCACTGAACGCCGATGAGCGCTGACGCTGAATGCTGACGTTTCCTGGACGCTGGATCTTCGATGCTGGCCCTGGGCTGCACGTAGACGATGATCTCGGCGTTGATACTGCTCTGCNGGGTTAAGTTGGTAAATGTAAATTTAAGTACAATTTTAATCTTTCTCAAAGTAATTTAAACACTTGATAAAGTCAGATCTAAGGCAATTGATTTTTCTTAATCTTTTCCCATGGTCTTTGCCTATTTGAAATTCATTTTATGATCTAGTTAACAACCTACTTCGTAGTAGGTACCTAGTTGTTTAGTTCGTAGTACGTAGTTTTCTTCCCTGCATCATTATTAATAATGATTATGCCATTAATAATTTACCTACCTTTGAGCACAAAGATTCAGTATTCGCTTTTACGGCTTCACTCTACAAATGCGACTTATTACCAACTCGAGGTAGCAAGTAGTGTGAACTGGGCTTTTACGAGTAACTTTAGAAACTTGAACCAGGTTTAAGGAAGCTGAAATGTACTTCTTGTGAATAGCACTGCACACGGCTTAGAACTCGAAGTGCTTGGTTAAGTTTAAAAGTTTGAAGCCAGGGCAAAAGCCACGGCTAATTTACGCGTTCACACTCGTGCAAAGCTTTGAGCTTATTATGAAGCCAGCTGTGGGCGACAGATTTCAACATATAACGTGTACTGGCCAGAAGAAAGGCCTCTTTATTTTTAGTTTAAAAGTAGATTTAGTTTCTTTTGATTTATATTTTTCAAAGAAACTCCTACAGATAAACTATGTGAATACCTACTCATTATTATCGTTCATTCGTTGCAGCCGAAAGACGTCCACTGGTGGATAAAGGCCTCCCCAAGAATTTCCACAAAGACCGGTACTACGCCGCTCGCATCCAGGCACCTCCCGCAACCTTCACCAGATCTTCGGTCCACCTAGTGGGACGTCTGCCCACGCTACGTCTTCCGGCTCGTGGTCGCCACTCAAAAACTTTCCTGCCCCAGCAGCCATCAGCTCTACGAGCTATGTGCCCCGCCCATTGCCATTATTTACTATGGCTAAACTAAATAGGTATATCCTTGTGTTAGAAATGGGTTTAGCCTAATAGTCCACCGGACGATATGGGTTGAACTCGACCCTCTATCTGACGCTGATACTGATACCGTTGAGCGATTTGTTGCCTTATTATTTATTTTTATAGACAACGTTGCCATTTTACCTTCATATTGATATCAACGCTCCTAGTTTATACAAAGCGTCGTCCTTATTCAGTTTCATACTGTACATTCCGTAATTTTTGAAAAAATATTTCAATTAAAACAAACTAAATTATATCGTTTTAGATGTATTTTACTTATAACATCGACACCTGTACGTTATCATTTTATTAAAAGGAGAGCAGGAGTGTCTTTCACAATACTTATTTTAGTTCAGAAACTACAAAAGAGTTACTCCCATTGTGTTTAAGTAACTCAACGCAGACTTACTCTAACATCACATAAATGTATTTATATTCCAGTACATCAATCACACACACACGGATCTTTTCAAAGAAATAAATGGCAGTCATTTTTCACAGCGTACCCACCGACCACACGCTGACGGCTGCTACTTAAACTAATGTAAGTGCGAACACTACTTTATTAGAGAAAAGTAAAAGACATTATCGTTAGAGATTTTTATTAAAACAGACTTCTAAAAAATACTCGTATAATGAGTGGTAATAAAATGTATTTTTCAGGACAGCAATTTGATCAATCCTGACACAAACACATAGAATCTTAGTAAAAAATTAATAATAATTGCCTAGTAGCATAAAATTTGATTTTATAAATATTATTTTTTATTCAAATATCTTTTAAAGAGATAAATGAAGATAAATAATGAAAATAGCTCCTTGCCTTTCAGTCAATTCATACTTAGGCTGAGTTGCACCACCTCACTTTGACTGTAACTTAAACGATAAGAGTAGGCGCACACCGTTGATTTTTCGTCGGCCGATAGTTTAGTCGGGCTGTTGATCAGTATGGGCATGTATGGGAGTGCGCACACTACGCCGATTCGATTTGGCCGATTTTTCATACAATTTGAAATCAGGCACAACTATCGGCCAGCTAAAAATCAACGGTGTGCGCCTACACTAACCGGTGTTTTTGTATGGAATTTGACAGATATTTGACGTTTGTCAAAGTTAAAGTAAGATGGTGCAACCCAGCCTTACCGTATGTTCGTTTCGTATCTTCCAAATACCATCAATCAATTCAGTTAATGCATTCTGTAATGTACACAGGTGTACAAGAACATACACAGATCAATCAAATACCTTATTGGACAAGGACAAGGGACGCAAATACCTTTTTTGCCGTACAAAAATCGAATATGCAAATATAACACTTTGCAACTTGCACTCCCTTGCATAAATCCCTCCAGTACGTGGATCTAGGTTTGAATAGGGCTAGGGTTGCCTGATGGCTTTAGCCGGACATGTTTGGGTTTTTACGGACTTGTCCGGCCAAATATTATTTTTGTTAGGCTTTTTATGTGGCTGTGCCGCGCCAGTCGAAAGTCGAGCCACAAAATAATTGGAGCTCACAGTATTTACTCATGAGCTGATACAATTTGCACTCCTCTTTTCCTTCTCCCCTCCCCCCACCCCTTCCCCCCCGAGACATGACAAAAAAGGTATGTCCGGCTTTTAGGGTACAATGTCCGGCCAAATTAAGCACCGAGTCCGGCTTTTGTGTTTTTGGCAACCCTATAGGGCTGAACGTTGCTTTTTAGACGTGACGTGTAAATATTGGCAGAAGTTAGCCGCGGTGCAAAATATTGTGACATCGTCGGTAAATATG